TTCTGTAGTTGCAACGAGTTTCTTCGACATTAGATGAAAACGGATATCCAGAGTTCACAGCACGGCACTCAAAGGCGAACGCGATTACTTGGAATGAACGGGTGCTCGACGTCCCTAAGAAAAAGTGTTCATAACGCTACCACTCAAAGGCGACCAAAATGACAGGAGATTTCGATACCGTCACCGTCAATCTATGAAAAGTGTTATTACACTGCTGTGCTTGGACTTTTACACCAAGGTAACAAGTTGCTGTTTAACGCCAACCCAGACAGGCCAGTCTATTGAGTCACCGCCTCAGTCATTTACCTGTTTCACTGTACTTACGGTAGCGAGTACGTTAGCCGAACTGAGCGAACACTGTCCACAAGGATTTCAGAGTATGTTCCTCGAAACCTGGTCGCGAATGGTCAAACGCTGCCTGCCAGTTCGATCTCCCGACACGTGCTTGACTGTTCAATGTGTGAAACCCTCGAAACTCATTTAGCATAATCAACCAACTGAGCGTCATCCGCCTGCTTCAGTTCACTGAGGCTTCGGCAATTAGGCGGCTGAAACCCAGGTTATGTAAACAGACCGAGTTTGTCGCCAGTCTTGCCCTGCGTTGGTGAGGCTGGTGGCCACATTCCTCTAGACAGAGTGCCGGCTAGCATCAGATAAACCTTAACCGTAGTCCACTTTTGTGGAGGGACTTTCGGCCGGGACGTATGCATTGATCATACAGCAAACCACCGACGCCTACGATAACCAGCATCTATGATGTACGCACAGGAACGTGTACAATTCTGCCTAAGTTATTTTGAACGGCATGTGACATGTCTTCATATTATCGGTAGCTCTCTATGTACTACATAACGACCGGTTAACAACACATGGTCTATCACTGCAGCGAGAACTCACTGTAATCGTAGTTTACAGTCACTATTGCTATCCCCGAGTGAAGCTTCGCAGAGCCAGAGGCGATTTCAATCGAAATTCACGTGGACGCTATTCGGGGTGGTCCCAAATCGCTTTTAAAGTAAAACATCAGTGAACGTTAACAAGAAATATATCAATGGTGTTGAATGGGTTACAGATCGAGTACATGCAAAGCACGTGTATAGGTATTTCGTACATGCTGCACCATTTGTTGACAGTGGTGCAGCGTCACGCAGGCACGTGCTTCTGTAACAACCTGATCCAAGAACTGCATCCTCCATTCAGTCTTGCTCAGTACACCATCCGGATCCTCTCGGAGCATTTCGGAATATGGCCACCTCATGGTTTGTTTAATGTGGGCCTTAATGGCACTCCAAATACCGTCAAGCGGGTTCAGTTGCGGAGAGTACGGTGCCAGTCGTAGAAGTCTTCCTGAGCTGTAAGGCAACCCTTGGAAGATAAGATCTAGATCCGTGTGACAGGGTGCGCTATCACAAATAAGGAGACAGCTTTCGGCGAAATGCATGTCATTGATATCAAGCAGTAGCCGCAACCACCGCCTCTTAGTCCAGAATATGCGAGCAATCCATCCTCATTCATCGCGCTGATCAGGTGCAGATTTTGTCCCCGTGTTCGGCACCGTGCAGTGCGCACGGGTGCCACGTGCTTAACATCCTCTTGTGCAAACACAGCACAGATAAAACTTCGTCTCATCCATCCATAACGTTCGTCTTCCTTCTGTCTCCAAGTTCATCAACTTCAACACGTACGCCTTCCTTAGCCTTTTGTTATCCATCGTATTTATGGATTCCGGTATTGCATGTAATTTCTTCATTGTCATGATGCGACCGTCTAGGTAGCGAGCGATTGTGCTGACACTCACGTCCATGTCGAACCCCACGTTCAGTCGTAACCGAAGCGTTTCCAAGGTAACCGTAGGGTTCGATTCCGCCCATTCCACCAAGCAATCCACGTGATTGTTTGACAGACACTTCGACTTGACACACTACCATATCTTGTCGGCTCATTCAATTCTAATATTCTAATCAAGCTTCTACATGTCTTCCCATTTACCTGTAACAGAGATGCAATGCCCTTCCAGTCGTTGCCCTCTTCATATTGTCTCCAAGAGCCTTTACATCGGACGGATGACGAGCGTACGTTCCTCTTCTTCCCATCGCGCATAATGTGATCTAAAGGTTAAAAAACCATATAAATCAAATTAAAGACAAACTTGGTAGGTGAACTATGAGGAAGATTTTCTTTTCACCTTACCTGCTGCGTGCGGTTCCCGTGCAACCAAACTGGGGGAAAGCAGAAGTGACAACTCCGATGACCAGAAACGGACTATTGGAACCGTATGGACGTTTCCACTTCTAAGTCAGACGCGTGAAATCACCTTGATGTTGCGGAACTAAACTTATGCCCCCGTATCCATTCGCGTGTGATGTCCGCCGTTTGGCTATCAGGTTGTCCCGCTCAGGCCATTCGGCGTAATGACCTTGAAATTATTACACCGGTCACAAATTCCACACGTGCGTAAGGTCCATCATGCGAGGTCCACGGCTGACTAGTCAGTGCGATCTGGATTAAATTTGGATGGCTATTTGATTAAATTTTCTGCATTACGGACGAAACCTGATGAGTGAAAAATTAAACAGATTGCATTAATTCTGAAATCAATCGAGAAATGGTATAGACAGGTAATCTGACTAGGATATGACAACAGACGCACCACTAATGCCGACTCTGAGCCATATCCTGTATGCATTGTCCGCTGATAAACTGCAACGGCAAGCTGCGTGCGCACTATGCACACGTGGCATGTATGTGATATGCGTGACCGTGGAGCGGTCCACAGTCAAATGGCAGCACGAACATGTTTTACTAGAAAGAGAATCGACTAACGTAGTTCTAATAGTATCAGAGACCACACCTGCTTTTTGAGATCGAATAAAAGCGATCAGATTTGAAGGCGCCTCAGTACCATAGTGTAGGCAGCCTCCGCTGTGGTCTTATAAACAAGCCTTTTCAGATCGAGGTAAATTCCTTCTAATGCCACAGAAATAGTAGATTGAAAAAGGCTGTTCTATCTTTCGGTATGCGTGAACTAACTTCGGCAGCCACAAGCCGATGCAGCCACCAAGGTAGAGGAATCGATCAACTACCTCCAGTTGCCTTCTCTCAAGGATTAGTCAATTGGCTGGTGGTCTGCAACAACACTTCGCACATGTGAAATGATGGGACTACTTTACAGAGGCTATTCAGGGCTGACTGGGACACCCCAACAGCGTCTGCATAGCTAACATTAAGTAGTTTTTCATTAGGTAGCATCTGAACGTCCGCATTGTGAGGTTTCGTAAGAGAACACCCCATGAAATAGTCCATGACGAAGCTGAACGAAAATAGGGAAATTGGATAACCCTGACGAACGATACTTTTCGTCAGAAATACATCCGTCAAGGTACCGTAGATGCTGACGAGACCGGTGGTGTTGGAGCACATGTCGAGTCAAATGCTCACGCACAAGTATTTCGTATAGAATGGATCAACTGACTGAGTCAAACACACTCTTGAAATTGAGGAACACAGCTGTTGTCGGTCTGCGGTACACGTGGCGCTGCTTTAGCACTTGACGCAGAGTGGTTGTATGGCTTATACAGCCCCATTCTGGGCGAAAACGTGCTTGATCTGCCCTACTCCGGGATTTCCGTTCCGCAGTGTATCGACTAACTAGAATTGAGGCCAGTAGTTTTGTTACCACCGTTGCTAGATCAATACCACTACGATCAGCATGCTTGATGTGATTGACCACCTTGTATATTACCACTATGGTCGACTCACTCCAGCCAACTGGGATCGTCTATTCCTTTAAGACCTGTTCGAACAGGTGGGTCAGTGCGTTGCAGAAAATCTCACTACCTTCGTATTGGTACGATTCGTATCACTGCGGGGCTAGACTGAGATGAGCCTACCGTCTCTAGTTCCCACATAGCCATGTGGTTATATCGCATCGAGTGCTTCCGTTATCGACGAGGCTTGTGCGCCTTGGTGGAGTTTATGTGCCATTCAAAAGCGGAATATGGACATAAACAATTTGCATCACAGCCAGTGTATGGATTAGGGACGCAGCCACACACATGTAGACAGTTTGCGCTGTCTGTGCGTCAATTAGACATCCATGCTAGAAACTGCCGCGTCTGAGACGTGAGTCGGAGGGACATCCACTTAAGGGAACGGGCAACATCAGAAGCGCGACATAGCTGCACTAATCTCGTGAGTTACTTTACAAGGACAGGCGGTAGAGTCTTGGACACTTTAGCCGTTAAGATATAGTGATTGTCACCTCTCGTGGCTCTATGGGTCCGATGCGGACTGTGTATATTCACTCTGTTTATACGCAGTGGAGAGTGAATAAGAGAGCAACCAACACTTAAAGAGTGATTACACTAAAAAAGCCATATGTACAGTGTACTCCACAGCCACGCAGCTGGCCGAGCAGATTAGACGTCTATCTTATAGTCAAGAGGTTATAGATTCTAATCTGCATCGGTGTAGTTAACCTCACAGTGTCCTTAGCTCCCGCGTGGCTGGTGTTTATTGCGTGGCAGCGTAGCGTACTGCCGATGCTCAAAACATCAGAGTTCCTAGGATGTGCTGAGCGGATGGTACACCTTTTGCCAGTGGATGAGACTGTGGGATAGCACGAAACGGATGCTAAGCAAAGTGGATGGTCTCCAGCAACGCCCAACTCACGTACGTTGGATGTGTGTTCAATAGTTATGAGCTTTTACGTACCGGTACCAGAGCAAAGCACTTTGATTTCAAAGATCAAGGTTCTCTGAGAGAACACAACAGTAGTCAACTTTCGCCCATGTAGCCAACCGATCATTTGCACTTCAGTTGAACTACCATTATTTATTTGGGGCATCGGGCCAAGGCTTTTCGATTAAAATACAAAGGAGCGTTTTCCGCAAACGAATTCATTAATTCGTGGAAATTCGCTCCTAAGTGCTCTATTATCTTGACCCAACGTTACGATATGTTGCAGCTAACGAAAGCACTTTATCGTAACCTTTTCGCAGCTCGCACTGTGTCTCTACACGCTTATTCTGGATCCGGCGGAAGAATTCTTGCGTTACCTGGCGATACGCGTGTTCGATGCATTTTTGATGGTCACGGGTCCACTGAGCATAGGTAAGTGTTCTTTCACTTTCAGCGATGGACTACACAGGATATGAAATGATCACAAGTGTATGGAATAGCATTCTGCTGGAGCGCCTTCAAGCCGGTGTTTTCGTGACTAATAAAATCAACCTCTCGGTGCATTACATCGATTTTGCCACGGCGGTAATCATTTGTGACTTCCAACGATGTTCTCTTTTAGCTGGTAAAATCCAACTGCCCAGCAATTCTATTGTTCATCGACAGACAAGCACTTTTGAAACTACTGGCCGTTTTCATACACGACTCGTGTGAATATAACGGTGAAATTATGCGCAGTCTTTCACGGTTTGCATATGAGGTGAGTTGAGAACAGCAGCATGATCTGGACCGACTCAATTCATTTTGTAGATGAGTCGAGCCGGAAATTTGGGCTTGCTGACTAATACTGACTGTGCTTGTATTCAGGCCAAAATTCGTTTACAATCAATGAAATACTCTGCGCCGAGTGCTTTGACGCTGCTTAAGGCATACTTGGAAACTGAACACACACTGTGACTATCGTTTTTAATACACCTTTTTCGCACATTTTCAACAGGCCTTAACACCAACAACTTTGAGGGTTTGTTTGTTGACATGAATTAAAATGGCCAACGTTCTGTGATAGTTTGCGTTCAGTTCAGTTGAACAAATATGATCCGAGCAGCGAAGTGCGGTGGATCCAGCTGCCAAGACACACTACAAGAATAATAATAAACAACAGCAAGATAGTGGGGTTGGACGCAAATATCATGTAGAGAAAATGGAAGCAAGGAGGTGCGTTAGACCAATCAAAATGAAACGGGAATTAACAACCAGATGCAAGAAGTCGAATGCGGAAACGCCACTGACTGCGCCGTGTGTGAAAAGGTCCCCAACCGTTGGTGTGGACCATCCCGAGGCCCCAACCCAAGAAGACGGTACGCACCAGCATGTTCAAGTCTCTCAGTTAATTTCGTCAAGCTTCAATACCACGTCATGGACTAGCCACCTCGTGTTTTCACCCAACTTGGTGCAGCCACGGCTTACAATGCATGCCGAAGAAGCCGATCAACGGGCATACAATGAAACAATACTTTGGGACGGGTAAAAAGTAAAGTAAAAAGTACAAGCTTAACATGTCGCTTAGGTTGTTAATGGGAGGAATTATTTATTCGAATACTATATGAGAGTCAAATAAAAAGCACATCGGTGCATCGACAGCTTGTAGAAAAATAATACGGTTTGGGGGGGGTGAGACGGTACCATGGCAAACGGATTAACAAGTTCTTGTGGTTAATACTCATCGCAAATAACAAGCAGATTGCTCACCCCTATGCACAGATTTAGGTGCGTCACTGTGCCTTATAATTCCAAAGAACCTAGTTAGGCTGAATAGATTACAGAACATCCGTTCATATAAGAAAAGGTAATAAGCTCAATGCGATAAACACTCATTTTTTAATGACCAGTGTGGAGGCGGAAACAACTGAGTTTGGAGGGACGTTCCAGGATTGGCATACACGGAGGGAGAAGTAAGTTTGTCGACAATCCAGCCGACTGTATTGTTTACACAGTTTCAGGCAATTGCCTATAAAGTTGACTTTCAGGCTGAGTTTCAATAGGTGGCGGCATACGTGACTGGGATCTCTCAATATTTGGTAATTATGAGGTCTCCACGTAGCCGCCGGTAACGTCCACTGACCACTCCGAGTTTCTTCAGTCATTGTTGGTACGGAGGGTGGCATAAACCATTGACATTTTTTGTTGCTCTACATTATGGGGCATTGAGTGCTGCAAGATCACATCATAACCAAGGTTGCCGAGCCTGGATAGCGTATTCGATGTGCAGATGCACGTAGCCCTTGAACATCAAATTGAAGATGGATGAATCCAAACTCCCGAGTGACCTGCGCAAGAGACCAACATGCTGGTTACCACTTTTTGTTGCGGACTCTGACTGCTTGGAACAACCGGGTTGTGCTGCATCAGCACATCGTGGTCACATTCGGGAATGGGGGTCTGCAGATCGTGCACCCCAAACTTGTAGATGTAGGTGTGCCGATGTCGGATGTAGACAAGGTCGCACTTGTCCACACTGAATGGCAGTGCGTTCCCCACTGACCGAATCCACGCTTTATCGAGGTTACGCTAGAGGACTTCGTGGTCGTCTAATCCCTTGATTGCCCGCCAGAGCTTAACGTTGCCCGTGAAGAGTAAAAGTTTGTGATAACTCTTGCTAAATCAACAACAAAAACTAAGAAAAGACGAGGCCCAAGTACCGAACCCTGTGACACACTGCATTCTACTCGAATCGGGTCGGACAGAGATGTTCAGACTCTAACCTCTAGTTACCATTCGCGGAGAAAGTTACTGATCCATCCTAATACTGGATCTCCGATGTCACAGTGTTGTATTATGTGAAGCAAGATACAATAATACAAGCGATCGGTCTTCGAAAAGTCCAAGTAGATAACATCGGTTTCTGTCCCTAGTCGACTGTTTCGGTCCAGTTGTCACGTATTGCCAGTAGATTCGTGGTACTTGATCGATGTCGACAAAACCTGTGCTGCTCTGGTGCAATGATGCTGCAGTTTTCCAGGTGACCCATCAGTGCTTCTGCGATGATCGTTTCCATGACTTTGGTGAGTACAGAGAGAAGCATTGCTAGGCGATAATTGGCAAGCTCAGATGGAGTTCCTCCGTTGTGAATAGGGGTGATAATACCCCCTTTTCAATTTGACGGAACTTTGTTCTCGTCTAGACAATGCTGAGAAAAAACCCAGATAGTGGTTCGGATATGTGCACGGCTGATACCTGCAACGCTTTCGGGTGAAGGTTATCCGCTCCAGGAGAGCTGTTTGTACGCAAGAATAGTAGTTTTACAGCAGTTTCTATGGTGAATGTGACGCTGATTAGACCCGATGGTAGAGTGACAGAAGCAAAAATAGCGTTCGAGACTTAAACCTCTTGGAAAGTAGGTGAGTACTGCACCCGTAAGGCGTTGACTGCCTCTCTCGCTGTATGGGTATAGCCACTAACCGTCATGAGATTCAGCGCTGAATAATACGAAGTCTATTGACGCGTTTAGAAATAAGCCTGTGGTTCGAACAGAATCGTTTCGATAGCTTCTGTTAGTGCGTTGTCCTCACGAAGCAACTGCACAGAGTAATTGCATTGAATTACGTACATTGGCCAATTTTATGAGCTAGGATTGCTTCTGCGAACACTCCATGTCCGATCCCTCCAGACCATATATTTTTGTGGTGGGCTTCACAAAAAGGATTTTAATTTGTGGAGACGATAGAAAGATTTGGCTTTGATGTTTTTGCGACTAGTGACGGGAAGGTCCTAACAGTGTTTCCCACGCAATTTATGGAGTGCACTCAATCATAAATGTCCAACTAACGATCTCAATGCATACAAGCGACGCAGTGGAACAAAAGTGAGGAGAATAGATCTGGATTGCGGTCGAATTCAACGACAGCGAACTCACGTGTCCACGGCACATAGGGCAATTAATCTGTCGGCTGTAAAATGTTCGCTGCCAGTGAAGACAGAAGCAACGAGCTGCAAGAAAGTGAGAAAAGTATATTATGCCATTGTGTGTCAACATGGCTAGGAGTCAATAGTCAGTGAATTAGATGAGAACAGTCGCGTGTGTAGATGCTGTTTGCACCGCAAGTAACGAACTAAATCAACACATGAACAAGCGAGGTATGGAACGTATAAAATTAGGTGATTAGGCAACAACAGCATCATGAAGACAGAGCATCAAACGGTCTCAGGTGCGCATAAAACACGTATGTGTTCGTGTGGCGGTCAAATTCAGTCCCCTAATTAATACTGCTACCACTGGTATGTCTGAGCCATTCACTCTGAATGGTTTTGAAGTCATGATGAAATGCAATGCCAGGCAAGTTCAGGTTAGCGAAGTGTGACGGACCCATTCGACTTATTCAACATGATAATCTAATAATACAAAAGCAAAAAGTGAGCCAAGAAGTCAATCATAATGAATTAAAATGTTGAAATTGTACGGTAAATTAGTAGTTAGAAACAAGAGAGTCGATTCAAGATCATCTCTAGTTTTCGGCCACATTGGACTAGCTAAGGAGTCCAGCTATGGATGCAGCCAATTCCATGTCTCCCATTCAGGATGACGAACAAATGAAAGACTTGACCTTTCGATCAATCCGTGCGCTATTACAGGATAATGATACTGCTACCTCTGAACTTTACAAAACTGGAGCAACACGGGCGAATCATCATCACCATCATCATCATACACGTTAGCTAGAGGTGGGGAACACCTCAGCTACTGTGCCGCAATACAGAGAAAAAAGGAGAAAAGAAAAGAATTCAAATGGGGAAAGCCGGCTGAGCTACAGGTAACGGATGGGCGTCGTTCCGGTAAGCTACCAGCCGGCTACTATCCATCACAAAAAAAATTACTATGCAAAATTATATAAGGTTAAATAATGAGATCGTGGTTGGAGGGGGAGGCTAAGAGGGATGGGGTGGGACAAAGAAACTCACAGCACGAACGCCACTGAGGTCGGCTCCTAGCCATGTCAGAGGCCGTAATAAGCCGGGTGACGCGAGTTCACCAAAAGTTCCGGTTAAGTCTATAAGAAACGTTCACAAACATTAGCCAGTGGCCTGAAACTGGGCAGGTATAATCAGTACGTCGGCGCTTTGCAGCCGCGCATCGAGGTCACACAACCGCTGAGGATTGTACGTAAGCTGGGATACTGCGAGGTCGACCGCAGATACGAAGGGTCAAACTGGCGAAGTGTGGGATACAAGCAAGAAGACCGAAGGACCGTTATTAGGTGCAATCAGCGCTTGGTAAGCAACACTGCTGGAGTACAAATAGCTGCGTATTGCTGTCAGCGCGGTCGCCAAGTCTGGTACATACGATAGCACCGGCAGCGCTGGCGCGTCGAACGCCTTTGACGTAGACGATGACAATCAGCCATTTCCGTGGGCTGGACGGCGAGAAATTGACGTTCAGCTCATGAAGTAGCATCGATATCATAACTGATTTAACTTCAATAAACACAGGGAGACAGAGGCAGTGGACGTCAAGAATCATCGTTGCGCAGCATAGTGTGGCCCCGGCAGCGGAACAAAGCGAAAATCCAAATGCTGAATTTGGTGCTTAGTTTTTACATACGAGAACGGCTTTCTGTGAGTGGTTATGAACTGTGCAAACGAGCGATGCTCAGAAAGCTTTCGCGCTTCAGGTTTACTCGCAGTAGATAATTCCCTAACTGCTCTGTAATCAAATAGGCCGAATCTTACTGACGCTTAGTGAGGAAACTATTTTGCATGCTTTGTTTTCAGTTTTGCCTTACTTTTTGCGAGTACACCACTGTATTGCACTTCAGCACAACAGTTGAGGCATTCCTCACCCCCAGTTAACGTGTGTGATGAGGGTGGTGTGATTGAACAAGCCAATGACGAGCAGATCCACCCCGACAAAAAATATGATCCAGCAGCGGTACTCTAGTACACCGAAACGTACCACGGCTACGCCGCCATCAGCAGTAGCGTGCCAGCTATGGATACTGCGAAGTCGCTCGCATTAAGGAAGGCTAGAATCGCAAGCCAAACTTCTGAACCAACAGACCAGAAGTTGGGACAGTGATTGCATGACATTACAGGAATCCAATTGATGATGGTCACACGTACTCTTAAGAGATTCTGGACGTTATGTGTATGTTTTCCAATAGAATTCAAGTATACGCCGGAGAGGACGGTCTATCATGGATCAGTTTCAGTGAGCTCGAACCAGGGTGGACGTGGGCGGTAAACGATCGGCTGTCAGTAAAAGAGTAAGTAACAAATTCACCGTTACGAACACCTGGTGATGCTTCCGTTCTGCACCAATCTAATTGTGATTATAACCCATGCACTACTGCCGTCCATGGTTGTTCCAGGGAGGAACGACTGTCAATCTCTATCCAAAGCCCTTGGACGAGGTCTTGTGGTAGTTATGTCGTATCACCGAACTGGTCGGTAGGTCAATACACATGAAAACCAGAAGACCACATTAAGCCCCAATCTCATTGCGAGGCTCAAAACCCACTTACAACAGTAGTGATGTTACTCACGTGGCTAATCATGTTGAGACAATCCAGGTTAGACAAATGCAATGAAGCTGTTATTTGGATCAGTGATGAAAAGCTGAAAGGACGCGACTGTAAGGTACAGTAACAAGCTGATCTGATCTTGACGCGGTAACTCGATTTTCTGGCGTGTCATACAGTTTCGATTTTTGGGCTGAAATATCGTTGAAATAGTGTTTGAATAAACACTGGGAACAGAATGTGACTTTTGTCAAACTCTTCTCAAACCCAAGAGAAATAATGCCATCGAAGTGTTTGGGTTGCCGCAAATCAGTTACTACGCGCTCAAAGGCCGTGCAGTGCAAGACCTGCAGTGGCTAGCTGCATATTGCCTATTGCAACATGGAAGCTAATTTGTATGAACATCTCCAACGGACCTCCTCCTCGGTTGTCTTGTTCAGTTGTGACACGTGCCAAGCGGATAAGGGCCTCAGGCTCTGTACAGCCCGACTCAGCCCCGTGGCTTACACATGAGAAACAAAGGCTGACCCCCTTCCGCCAACTGCCGTGTCCAGCTCGACGACTGCGAACATAAGTCGTAGTACAGACTCCTCTGCCTCATCATTGGTGACCATGGCACTTGGCGGACGTAAAACCAAGACGATCACTCCTGCTTTCAAAGGTAGCCGGATCTTAGCTATGTCGTTTTCGGAGCCCTTGGTGCCTGCTGGTGGCGGCAATGATCTTAAACACAAAAGGTATGCAGCAGCTGTTGGCAGTAGCGCAGCTCCAGCTTCCGTTAACCGGAGCGCAGTCATTCAGGGGTAAACAGTCAGCAGCGCAACAAGTAGCAAACCAAAGACAACCATTTCTCATTCTCAAATAAAACAAGTTATTGACAGAGTACATTAACTAGAGAAGCTAATTAAAGACAACAGGCTTCCTAAGTCGCCGGTTCGCGAGAACAGCAAAAATGAGGATCGATGCTTGATCATTATGAATACTCCTGAATCCGATAAAGATACTGCAGCTGCTAGAACATTGGACAACCAAGACTTTCTAGAACGAATGGTTCCCAAGGTTTTCGATGAAGGCGAGATGGGCATCAATATTGTTTCTGCCTTTCATCTCGGCTGGAAGCAACGAGACTGGAACCGTCGCAACCATACTCGACCTTAAAGTGGTGCGACGGTTTGCGTACCTCCTTGACCCATTGAGCTATACTGGGTAATGCCTCCGGCAGTTTGAGAGCTACTTCTACCAGATTGGTCAATGATGATAGGTTAGACAATCTCAGCCTCCAGGTTGGAGGGGGGTTGAAATGGGATGGTGTGTATTTCCGTAAAACTAAATCATTGCCACCTCCCGCTGCCTTGTGGATAGGCTTTTGAGACAAAGGCTTTGGATGAGGACCCTAATCGTCCTCCTGTCTAGGTCTGGGCGCCTTGGCAGTATCCTAGCCCACAAACAACCATGACTTTTTCTTCAAACATAACCTTCATCTTGCATCGGTTGTCGCACAGATTATCAAGAGTCGCCATATCTGTTGCATACAGCAGGGCAGGTAAGCGAAAACATGATACTGCTGACACCTCCCTACTTTCTTTTCCATCTGTCTCTCTTACTCCCATCCCGACCCCCATTACTAACCTTCTATAATTCCCAGCTTCATTGACAGCAACCGAAGTGCCACTGGAGTAGAACCATCTGCAGTCACCATCCCACAGCACCTATTGGACGCCTAGCGGCAAAAGTCCGTTACGAGGTCACGTTGTCCCGTTTCTATGGCGACATACAACGACATTCAACAGGCTGCACTCGCACACACCTTGGATACCCTGAGTATTGATGTGTGTTGTGTGTCTGAAACAAGGATCAATGACCCTGATGGGGTTGTTGAATTAACTGCACCCGGTTTATCCTCTCGTTATTGGCTACACGCATCCGGAGACGCCGATGCAGTACTCTTGGGTCAAACAGGAGTAGGTATCATTCTTAGCTCTAAGACTGAACCACTGTTGGTTGATTGGATTCCGGTGAACAGCCGTTTGTGTGCAGCCCGTTTGATGAACTCAAGTAAGGTTGATTCACGAAGTAGCACACAACGCTGTTTATGATTTCCGCTTATGCTTCCACCGACTGCAGTTAAAATGTTCTCAAGGACTCATTCTATCACAAACTGAACGCGCTACTACGCAGTGCTACTAGTTCAGATATCATAGTAGTTGCAGGGGATATGAACTCACAAGTAGGGCCTCTGATCTCTTCAGAAGCTCAGCTGGGTGGTAATTATGGGCTTAACTCCGAACGGAGTGACAACGGTGATCGTCTGCTACAACTGTGTGCGGAGCACCAGTTGTTTCTTAGTAGTACTGCTTTTAGACACAGTGGGGGCCGATGTGCCACTTGGCGTCCTCTTGTAGCTGGCCAGCGATGGACTCAAATGGACCACATAACCATAAGTTACAGGTGGCGTGGTTCCATCGTAGATTGCCG